ATTGTGGCTCCTCATCATGAAGATTTAAATTACTGTATCCTCTATGAGGCTAAGGACACCCCGCTCAGTGGTTATCTCGGTCTTGAGAGGACATACATTTCTGTGAGTTGCCACTATTTGTTGCCCAAGCTGTACAAATGACGAGCACATATGTGCGCATGTGTGAGACGTGTCAAAGGGCGAAGTCCTCTCCAAATGCGGTGGCGACGCTCGCCAGTTTGCCAGTACCCTACAGGTGTTGGCAGTCCACGACTTTGGGCTTTGTGTTTGGCCTGCCGAAGGACTCGGCGGGCAACACGGGTGCGGTGGTCTTTGGGCTTGTTTGAACAGGATGACTTATCTTGCAGCAGTGCCAGACACCATCGATGGTGTGGATACTGCGACGCCGTTTGTCGATCGTGTCTTTTGGCAACATAGACTCCCGGAGTCAATTGTCTCTAACAGAGACCCACGCTTCACTGGGGAGTTTAGGTCTACAATCTTCAGGGTGCTGGGCACCAAGTTGACTATGTCAACAGCGGACCATCCGCAGACCGATGGTCAAACTGAGCAAGATGTTCTTCGCAACGCTGAGACGCCGAAGCGCTGGAGTATCATGCTGCCATTTGTGGAGCTTGTTCTGAACAATGCAGTGCATTCATCTACCGGCTACACGCCGTTCTACGAGAACGGGCTCATCCATCCTCGCGTCCCGCTGACGCCACCATCCCATGGCTCATGGCTTGGTGTGGGCGGAATATCCGAACGGCTAGCTTATGTCAGTCCCCTCACTGTCCGTAAAAAAGTCGATAATTTCCTGTCTACCAGACTGAGTGTCCTACGACATGTTTGCGATGCGATGACCGAAAGGCAAGACATCCAGAAAGAATATGCAGATGGAAGAAGCAGAAGAAATGTGGAAAAGATTGAGGTCGAGGACCTGGTTTACTGAATGCCGAAACCCTTTTTAGACATGCAATCTCTACTGTCTTTTAGAGTGTCCACGGTTCAGAGGTCGTTGCCAAGCGAGGCCTTCCGTATACGCTATAAACCTTCCGAAAATGATGCGCACCCACTGGTTGCTAAAACCGTACCGGAAACTGGCTCAAGTGAATCGGAAGCGTTGCCGCCGGGCGGCGCCCAAAGGCGTCTGGCACACCAGAAGCTAATCCAGTTTGGAGTGCAACGATCGTCGTTTACAACGGCACCAGTCGCTCCACCGTCGCACGCAGTGACGCATTCATCTACGCGACAGCCAGGAGCAGCTCCGACAGAGCGCGATAGTCCTTAATGTGGGGCAGTCGGTGCACAAAGTATTCCAGGCTCTCGAAATCTTCCGTGCGGCGGTATACGACCTCGGAATGATGCTCAGTGGAGCACCAATGGCGACGGACCTTGTACTCAAGAGCTCGAAGCACATCGCGAGTAACCGGACGGCGATCGCCCCATTTGTCATCCTTCGCCGCCGACTTTCTCGACAAGAACGGTGGCGTTCGCTACCACGTGGAACGCCTTGTGGGTTGACGTCGTCGGCAGGGTCAAATTCAAAATCTTGTGAAGCGGTGGGGATTTCTGAACTGCGAGAGCTCGTGGGAGTTTGAGGTGCCACTTCGGCAAGACTACCCACATGTCGTAGATGCTTATGATCAGAAGGATCATGACATTTCGCATCGTCGTGCGCACCGCTCTTCTCAGCAGAAGCCCGAGAGGTCGGAGGGTCATGAGCTGAGCTCAAGCTATGGTCCTGATCCGATGTGGCCGTAGAGTCACCCGTGCGTGAAACTACAGAGCTCGCGGGAGCGTTATGGATTATTCCATATGTCGCAGGTCGACGATACGCAGGAAGTTGGCATTGCGCCTTGACTTTGGCAACCTCAAATCTTGGATGGTGCTCAACACCCACGTTCAATTCCTTGTGGCTCCGCTGTAATTAGGGCAGGGAGAAAATTTACCGGTGCCGCTGCACCCATCGCTCAAAGAGCTCATCATGATCTGCAGCGGTTTCACCAGGAGAGAGCACCACAGGAATAGTCCGTATTGCGGGTACAAGAACGCCTCCTCTTTGAACGCAAAGTCGAGCGCAGTACCTATCCATTGGGATTTCTTGAGGTACCAAGAAGAGAGCTCGGAGAGCTTTCCGCTGGACAATTTCAGCTTGTGTAGCGGCTGGGGGGGCATACTACGTCGACGCCTAATGATCGAGCGATCGCGTCTTTCGATTCTGTAGCGGGATCCGCCGAGCAGAAGCCGTATTCCACACGAGGGTCTAAGACTGAACGTGAATACGAGCCCAGGAGAGCCACCCTGTGGGCAGCCTCTAATTGCTGCTCCTGTGCCTCGTCGGGGTGATCGGAAATAGTCACTTTACCCGGAAGTAGAGAGTCGGGAAACGGACAAGGTTACCGCAAGGTTTGAGCAGGGCTCACGTCGCGCCGGTGGCGCACCTCACCCTCCACTTTTTCCCTTTCTGGGAAAGAAGTATCCGACTCGTAGTCGACTTCCTTCAGATCCTCTACAAGGAAATTCATCGCCCGTGGCGGGCGCGGTATGCGGCGCCTGGTTGCCGATGGCTTGTGATGTGCCTCCCATGAAGTCGCGGACGTACTGTCTGGAGTTGCACCGCGTGCAGGGGACGAAGAAGGGCTCTGCCCGCGAGCGCTTTCGAAGCCAGCAAGGCTGAGTGTTTTTCGTGTCATAGGCACAAGGTTCTGAGCAGAGAATGCGTGAAGAAGGACCTGAGGACGTCAAGGTGTCTTATACCTGTGAGCATCGTACGAGGCGGCAGTCAAGTACGAATTATGGGTATTCGCAATTTTAATGGGGTAGAGTTTAACGAAGTCACACGTCACCGTGTATACAGGCGTGGGCCACACAAGATCGTGCGACCACACAGTGGTATCACTCACCATAACAAAACGCCACTACGTGGCGGAAATGCCGGTAGTTATGCATCATAATTAGGTTTTGTTACTCAATAAGGAGAACCTATAGATTTAGATATAGGCAGCGCTGTCGCAAATAAAACAAAAGAAATGCAGTTTGTATTTTGAATGGAAGAGTGTATTTGCCTTGGGTTAAGGTTTTGGATACTCTTGGAGTTAGCGGATTGCGATTCGCTACACTCATACTGGTTCTATTGTAGAACGTAAGGTCGGTGATCTTAGCTTATCTTCCTCTAAGGAAAGAGCTGCGGCAGCCTCGCTGAAGTAGCTGTAAACATTACCGCTATACCCGTGACGTCATCTACGCATATTCAGCGGTGTATCTCAACAAATTTCTTTTGGATATTTTTGATTGTTGGTGAGGTACGCAACGAGTCGTAAAAGTGAAAGATCTCGCAGAATTGCTTTGTATTTGTGAAAATGTGTCATTAGGCAACAGCTTCAGGATTTCTTATCAAAATACATCTTCGAATAATTTTTATGTTTTAGCAAAACGCTAATAAAGACTAAAAGCGTTCACCAAATGCTCCCATCCTTTGTGCTAAATGCGACCGGGCTACACCTACAGAAAGTGAACATTTTGCAGTTAGCTTTTCGAGAGCCCTCATCTTACGAAAAGTCACAGAATTTACTAGAGTCGACTACTAGTAAGTTAATAATTATTACGAATGCGAGATACAGCAGTAATGAATTCTATAAGTTTTGGTTTCTTTTGAGCACAACATAACCTTATGAACAGATATGAGCTCACTTTTAGCGATCGAAAGTAAATGTTTGGCGTTTAGCGCTTCGTTAATTTTATGGGCGGGTGATGAATAAAAACAATAACTTGTTCACCAACAGCTGTCCACAGACGATAATATCTTAGTTTCTACTAGGCTCAGTACATACTCAGAGCACTACAAGAAATAAGTCCGTCAGGCTTTGCATAAAATCTCGGACAACAGTTTGCGCGTGACTACTTGTATCATCTCCATTTGCTCTTGATGCTTCATCTGTTTTTCTTAACTATTTAAATATTGACAAGAACGGCGACGATTGCGTACTGTTGGAATTGAGCACGATATTAATGCTCAATCATGTGGCGCTTTAAGCGTCGCATGGGCAACGCTGCACAAACGACCTCATGAAGATACAATCGCTCTCGACGATGTGCAAAATAAACGAAGACCCAAAATATACGACGAAGAAATCTTCATTGCGAATAAACAGTTGAATGAAGATGTAAAGACAGAAGACCATATAAATCCTGCCGAAAATACTTGCTGGTGAGGAAGACCGTTGCAAATTTACAAAACTTTTAGCTTTATGAGTTAGTTGACGTTCTTTCTTGCTTACTGATGTAACATGTTCAGAACGCAATATTGATATTTCACGCTACGAGCTAACCTCAAATAGCTTGCATTATTGAAATTTCCCTTAGGATACGACCACAAATTCGTACTTTTCCGCTTGGCGCTGAGATCGAATAGCTGTGCTTTTTGCTGATAATTGAATCTATCATCTGCTTATAGTTCATGTTTCGAGCATCGTTCACACTCAAATAAATCGACGACTACTAATACCAGCAGTAACCGAAAATGTGGACTGGATAAAGAATTAGGACTTGAACCTGATGATCAACTATCAATGCCGGCGGCCAAACCTTCAACTTGTTTCTCACAAGCAATAGCGTTATACTGTCAATTGTCCACAATAAGCAGCGTCACATATTACTTAGTACTGTTACTGCACCAACATGACTAGATTCGTTTTATAGATGACACTATAAAGTCAACCTGTCAGAATTTGTCTTATTACAAGCAGTAAACGCGAAGAGTGAGTTCAAAAGCGAGTTTGTATGGTTGATTACGAAAAAAAAAGAGATGCTGCCCAGTGAATTCAAACTCATGTATTAAGATGCTACACGACTCACAATGAAAGGATGAGCAAAAATTAGATTCACTTTGTATTTATTATATGTAAAAGCTAATAGAGATTACCACATGCAGTTTCGAAACGTTCTCAGCTGTCGTTGCTGCAAATAAAAGTGAGGACCTTTAATCGTATCTAACCGCTAGAAATAGTCGAGCTTTTTTGTCATGAGAGAGGCGAAATTTTTTCGATCTCTTCTAAGTACTCATCCTTAAACATTGACGTTGGTCGCTTTTTCCAGCCCTTCAACCATTTGAAGCTTTTAAAGTCTCTCCACAGCTTTATTGCTTTTGGCAATCGTTTGTTCGCCTTGATCTCGTTGTCTATAAGAGACGTAGGAATTGGCTTGGCCGAAGTAAGGAATCGTGCGTTATGATCATTGTTTGCGTCAGCACTGTACGCGTCCTCAATCATATCCATATTGTTGGGATTCTTAGTCGGGGAAACGCAGTAACATGTGGATGCAATGACCATCAGAAGGATCGAGATAACATGCATGTTTGAATGATACTTGAGGACGAGCAGAACACAAGAGGGTGGGGTGGGGTGATTTGTACCAAGCCGATTCTCGAATGAGCATGTAACAAGTCAAGTGTTGTGCTGAGTAGTTTGACAAGCATTTGCTCAATTTGATGGGTTCTACGGACTTGGTCCAGATGCCGATTGGATTGTCACACCAGATATTTCAATCTGAATTGTTGCGATACTGTCGCTGGGTACTTGCTTGAGACGTCATAAGAATTGCATTATGGTTGGGAACGTACCGTTTTCTGTTAGACGGGGTAGCGCGGCACCTGAACGTGCTTAAAACAGATCCGAATGTCCCCTTAAGCTGAAAATTTGGAGAAAAGTTCTGGGCAAGCAGGCCACAATCTGTTTTGATGCATTCTACTTTATGTGAAAGTAGTTATTAGCTCTCGTTTTTGTAGCATGCGCCACCAAATTGTTCGTGTGCCAAGTGCAGACTCTTTTAAGCACGACTTCGCATTTGTGCTCTGTCTCGAAAAAAAAAGCGGGTCAGCTAAACCGGAGACTTTGAGAAATGCTCAAGTTCCAAATTTGTGATAGCTACAACATGATTGTTAATTTCAGGCTGTGAATACCGCCAATTAAAAATTTTGGCACTGTCCTCACTATCCGATGAAGTGATGGTGAGTATCATCTTGTCATACCATGTCACTGTAGTCAAGAAAGCGTCTCAATAACTTGATGATTATCGGTGAGTTACTGCAGTTACGGCACACACGGCGGAATTGACGAAGTTTCAAGTTGGGATCGGTTGGATCCATGTTCGATATTCCACGTCTAATTGAGCACGTTCATAAGAACTATTGGAATTATCTACGAGCAGAGAGTCATTGTTAAAAACATTCAAGTTTCTCAGAAAGCAATCACGCAAGATCGACTATTGTTACCGCTAAGCATTACACTATCATTCAATGTAATAGTTGGATGATCTAAAGCCGGTTAATGCACGAGATAGAAGAGAGCAATTGCTAGCAAAAGTTGACTTGCATGTGTGAGAGCAGAAAAGTATGATGCTTCTAGCTGACATAAGGATGGCGTACGAGTCTGAATTCCGGTCAGTTTACGTTGCTGCTCCCCCACAATCGTCACAGGAAGCTAAGTGTCTTTGCTATCTTCTTGGTCTTCAATCTAAGCCCACAGGCCCGGGCTGAAAATCCCACGTTGCTCTCATCATGTAGTGTAGGAGGGTGCTGCATAGGGTTGCCGTGCAGTTTATACAGAGAAAAATTTGACTCAGAGCCACGTAAACAAACGCACAGATGCAGGATTCGTACACTTTACCTAGCAGTGGATTTTAGAGCACAAGCTGTTATCTAATTCTTTTCGTGACATCTGTTCGAGTTTCCCATTCGTTTTACCGGATGTCATTCTAAAATGCCAATATCACTCTACTTGCGGCTGGCAGACCTCTCCATGACAAAGTCTATCATCGTCACCAACACTTCGAGACCTTGGAATGTTCACAATTAAGTGCAATGTGATGTTCGTACAGATATACAATATTGTATGCAATGTGATACAATTGTATCAAAAGTGCAAAGTTTGTCAAGCGGCTCAAACATCTCACGATAGATCTTCTGATGGCTGCGTAATATGAAACGGATATTCGACGCATCAGGACAAACTGATGGTGGAGATAAGATCGTAAAAACAACTTTTATAGTAGTAAAAGTATAGTCTGAAGCACTCGCCATACAGTATCCAAAACCCGATATTGTGATGCTGAACATTATCCACGCCATATTGGTCTGTTCTTGTCTACTTGTCCTGTTCTATGTTTCACCTTCCTCCACTTCTTCGCCCTCTTCTAATTCGTCATCGCCCAGATCGTCCTTGCCCTGTACTTGCATCTTTAATCGAGCCTGCCGAATAATCTCCTCTGCTCTAGCAGCTTCTTCGGCCTCCGACAGCGGTTTTGATGGTGTTCGAAGCGGTGATAGTAGCGTCTCCGTACCCAAGTCATCAATAGGCTTGATAGTTAAATCAGAAGGTAACCCACTGAAACGATCACGAGATCGGGAGTGAGAATGAGTTCGTCGAGAACTACGTCGAGACTTGGATCGAGACCGCGAAGCAGACAGCGACGCGTGACTACGACGGCGTTTTCTTGATGATCGACGGCTTCGACGTTTTTTGTGACTTTTATCTTCCTCGTGTTCATCAGCAGTAGAAGACCGATGACGAGAGCGACGAAATTGATCGTCTTCCTCCTCTTCGTGACTCTCCTTGCGACTTCGCTTGCGTCGTTTGTCTTTTTTGTCGCCTTCTCTCCTGCTATCTTCTTTCGCCATAGCAACCCACATGTCGTAAACTTGACGAACAAATGCTGGGTAAACCACTTTGTCGTTATTGGGCTGTGTCTTGATAGCAGTCTCAAGTGCTACAATTATTTCCTTTGAATCGAGTGTGGATACCTCATTTGTCTTTGCAATCTCTTTCGATGTCATCATTTCTTCTTCCCCTTCTTCAGGTGCATTCGTGTCAGTCGCTTTACTCACTCCAGCACTTAGCGCATCGATGTATGCGGCAAATGTAGTGGCTTCCGTTACTCGTAACACTGGCTCATTTCGATCTAAGCAAGTACGAATCACAGCTGCTACAGGTTCAATTGCACGACGAAGTCGGCGAACATTCTTGTCAAAGATCCGTCGTTGCGTCTTCCAATGTAAATGGTCAATGTCTTGGTCCTTCTCATTATCAGAAATGCTATCTTCATTCTTTCCATCTTTCGTCATCTGTTCACTTGCCTCCTTTAAGTATTCAGCGGCAAACTCGTCCCATGTGCTTCCAGACGTCAATTCCCCACTCCCTGCCATTTGTTTCAATTGACTACTAAGCTCACGTTCTAATCGTTCCGTGCGCTCAGCACGCTCTACTCGTTCACGCTTTCGTTTCGCACGTTCAATCTCTCGACGTTCACGTACAAACTTTTCCGTCCAGTCGTACACATCATGTCGATCAATATTTCGAAGCACATCTTCACTAATTTTGTCCCTACCATCCGCCGACTTAACTTCTTCTAATATTTCTAACACACGGCGCTTTGATTCACCATCCAATCTCTTCGATGAACGGTTTTCAAAATCCAATTCCTTGGCTTCCATGCGTTGTTGCAAGAGCGCTAGAAATTCTAACTTCAGGACCTCTCGTTGTTTCGCCAGACGTGCTTTCTGGTTTCGCTCCAAGTCTTGCATAAAAGTTGTGAAAAGTTGTTGCTTCTCACGTGCTTCATCAATTGCAGTCCATCGTGGATCTTTCCGCATGGCATAAAAATCGTTGCTTTCATTCACCTCTTCCCAAGAAAGTTGTCGTCGACGTGAAGGTGCTAAGCTCGTTTCAAATAGTCCAAGAAGTTCAATAAATTCTTCTCGAGCTTTCTTTCCCAATCGCCGCTTTTCAATTGTCAAACGATTCTTGGCTTGGGTACAATACTCGGCATATGCTTGTTTCTTTTCGCCTACCGTTTGCAAGGCAAACTTCCAGCGAGAATCATTTTGCATTGACGTATCTTTGCCAATCATACGCAGAGCATCACTCCATTTTAACGTAGGAGCAATCTGTTTCTCTTCTAAAAATTGTTTGAATGCAGCAAGACGCTCCGCTCGGGGCATATCTGTAAACTCCGCAGCTTGTTGTTGTTCTTGTATTTCCTTGCGTTTCTGACGTGCCTGAGCTTGTGCTTCTGCTTGTGCTTCCTGTTGTTGCTTTTCGTCTTCGTCTTTTTCTTCCTCTTGCTTTTCAATTTGCTTGATTGTTTGTATTGGCGTTGACGTCTGAACGTGTGTATTCACAGAAGACATTGTCTGAAGTGTTTCACTAGTCATTTTAGCGACTTCTTCGCGAGCTTTTTGCATCCGTAACTCTTCAGGTTGGTCCCACACTGTTTCTTTTGTAATTGTGTTGAAATAGTATGACGCTCCTGTGGCTTCGTCTTTGTATTCTCTCCATGTACATGTCTCGGGGTCCGACGTTGGCATTTCGTATGTACTTACGCCAGTAGTAGCATTATAATAAAATAAAGCGCCTTGTGGTGTTCTTGATTCCTGCCATCCAAGCGGTAGAACAGTAGTAGGAGTAGCAGGTGACATTGTTGGAGCCAACATTGAGACGAGATTGAGATTCAGTGGCGGTCGAGGACCGAGAAATGTTGGCGAAGGTCCACGAAATGCAAAGGGAGGTGGCGGAGTTTGAGCAGCAAATGGTGGACGAAATGGAGGCATAATACCGCGTGGAAACGCTGGTGGAGGGCCGCGGAATGCTGGTGCATTGCCACGCGGGAACGCTGCGCTGTTGGACGGCGGACCGTAGTGGCTCATAATCGAGAGAGGTAGCGAACCGCAAGCACTAAGTTACACAGGACAATACAGCACACTTCAACAAGTCTGTCGTGAAGGTGCAAGAGTGATGGTTTACTCTAGAATGATGGATGGTGCGACGGTCTCTAGAGCGGGGAACGTAGGGGTACTTACTTTGTAAGCAGGTCTCGCTGGAATCTCTTATGTAGTAAGTGTGGTGTACACTATATTATACGAAGGTTTTATGCTATGAACCAAAAGTCAAGTGAATATGCACCCGGCGCCTCCTCCACCTAGTGCAATCCAGTGTGAGTCTTCACTACCGATGCCACCGCAATTGCAACAAATGATGCATCAGATGCAAAAGCGTCAGCCAAAGTTCCAGCAGCATGTGCCAGCGTTTGAAATATCTGGAGATCACCGTGGTGGACGAGGACGCACGAGGGGACACAGAGGTATCCAGCAGCAGAAATGTAGAACAAATCGCGATGATAGGTATCATCAGACGCAGTATAAACGAAAAAAAAGACCGAATGAGGTCGTACATGATGCTTTGAAGTTCTTTATGCCGTCGTTTTTAGAGGATCCGTGGAAGGAGCTCGAGACTAGCGAATGGAGCAATGTAAAGGATGAAGCTGCCGTCAAGACAGAGTATACAGGAGCACAACATAGAGAGGAGATGCGTGTACAAGAAATACAACATTCTGGCAGGAAGGACGGACCAGGGCGAGTGTTATTCCAGCCTTCGTTTCTTGAAGATCCATGGATGCACTTGGTGCAGTGATTTCAGCATAATTTACTTAATATGACTTGATAAATTACACCTCTACGATAAAGTGCAGGATATGTTCTTGACAAAAACTTAAAAAACTGAAGGCGAAGCATCATATATAGGTTCACGTCGAGAAAAGGTGATGAAGTTGGCCTTGTGCACACGAGAATTCAGGTCCTTAGTGATTTGTGCAGGCTCAATGCTAGCAAGAGCAAGCAGCATTATATATGTCACACAGCTGTAGACTAGTCGTGGGAATACATTTAAGTTTGCCACGGAAGTCGGACAGCTCACAATTTGATCGAGTTGATATCCCATTGGATTGAAAGGACTAATGTATCGGAACGCATAAGTTAACATCGAAGAGAAGATGAGCTTAATAATAGCATCTCACCACAAAATTGGAGTTGAGCAACAAACGCTAAGTGACAAATGGAAAGCCGAAAAGATGAATGAAGCCAAGGTAAGGCTTGTGATACTTTTGTGGAGAGAGGATGTCACTAACATGCGATGCACGAAGGCACTTGATGCTCGCGAAAATGTACATGCATAGTATAGAAGTAGCAATGCTGTTAGCAGCTGGGGGACTGTCGTCAATAATGGCTTCAGCGACATATGATGAAGCAGTCCTTGAATTTCGGTCTGGGATTCCAATATCAAGTGTTAGCTTTGACTATTCTTTAAGCATGACGTGTAAACGCACATCCGTGGCGGCAAACCACTGACAGAAGCCGAATCCGCCCTAACCAACACACATAATCACAATTATTAGCTTGATTTTATTCTTTTCAACTAGCTCAAGCACCATTACAAGAGCACTGCAACCCAAAAAAAGTGGATATAGTCGGAGATATAACTCAACCATGAATTATCTTGCAAAAGTCAAAATGTCTGTCTCGTATAAGAATTTGATTCTATCACCGGTGTTTCTACATGATATTTACTCATACCGATAAACACTCAATAAAAATTCTGCAAAGTGACACATCTACTATTGAAATTGACTTGATCTACCAATTTCTTTCTTCGTAGAATATTTACTTATTTGACCTACCCTTGAGTTATCGCATTATCTTATTAAGTGAATATATTGCATACATTATGCTCACACTATTGCCCACAATTGTCGTCACGCATGTCAGTAAAATATTGCAGTGCAAGTACGAATACCGGTAGAGCTGGTTTAGCTCCTAATTTTCAGCCAATAATTATTAGACACAGACTAGCTCTCCACTATAACCATACACTAAACTATGGGTCGGGCTCGGAAGCGTACGGTGGACATGATCCGTCTGGTAAAGGGATTGTGTCGTAACGGTGGAATGCACCGTCCATCATGGGTTTCAATGGTAGACCGTTTTCCACCACCTCCGATACCGCGTCATGATCGCGATACGGTGCCGGTTATTAAGTTTCCACAGGACCGACTAGCGGAGCTTTATATGAGACAGCGTGATGGCGTAGTCGACGACCAAACCGCTTACGAATTTGCTGATGAGCAGCTAACGCTAATTGAGCAAGGCATTTCTGAAAAGGATGCGTACAATTTGCTTATCGAAAAGTATGACCAGGTGGAAAGCCATCGCTTTCTCGATAAGTTTTCCAAGATGCGTGGTATCGAATTTGCTGACCCTGCCGAGTACGACGATATCGAAAAGGGATGGGTCGAGGCCGAAAGTCGTGCGATTAAGGAAGCCATGCGTCTTGAACATGAGGAACGTGAGGCACTTCGGAAGATGTAGACAAATAAATAAAGACCATGACATTGTTAATGTGTTCAAATGTAAGTCACACAAAATAAGAGATTTATTGTATAATGTTGGGTTATAAGGTTACGCAATATTTGACTGAAACGAGATTGCAGGTACATAACGAATTATGTAACGATAGGTGTCATTAAGTAACGATAATCTATTAAATCCCTAGAAAGAAATTTACAAGCGTTATTAAGGCAAATGTACTGTACGACCTTTTCTTTTTCCAGGCAACGCCAGGGACTGTGTTGCGATCTTGCTTTGATGACACGAGAAGTGACATGAGCATAATAAGACCACATATGATCCAATCACAATCCTCTATTTATTATCTCTTATGATTTATGACCAATCATCACAATTGTCCTTACAGCACAGAAGCAAAGCATTTATCTATTATTTAAAAAGCTCAACTAACAGTGCAATGTCAGAGCACAAGTCGGCTCGCGAGTACGATCCACTCTATCCGCGTAGTTATGCAGCATCATCCACAACTTCTACATCTACTGCACCTCGTTGCTATGGTGGATTTGAGCAGCAGAAGCGCAAATGGGCATCCACTGCACGTCGATCAGAGCGTATTCGCGTAATTGCTGGATTGCAAATGCTACTTGGGTTGCTAGCATCCGGCAATTACTTGTGTCTATCCAACATTTTTATGTTTATTGTGGGTATTGTTGGTCTGCTAGCTGTGCGCTCGGAACGTATGAGCTGGACGATCGTGGTACGTTCTCTATAGTAAATTCGCTTTGGTTGAGGATCTTTAAGTTGACTTTCTTTACAGTACTTGCTCTTGAGTGCCATGGAATTTGCACGTATCGTGATGCTGACACCTCATTTGTACGAGAGATTTGAGATTCCTGAAAACAACTTTACGCACTATGAGTGTTTTCAAGTTGGTGTACTCGTGCTAGAGGAAGTATTTTTAGTGGTACGTAACTGAAAAGCTCTAATAATTGTTTGTATGATTTTGCTGTATCACTGATGCTGTGAATGGACTTATGCTTTTGCAGCCAGCAGCATTTTTCGTTTGCATAGCTGCTGCAGCGTCCGTTGCTAATCCATTATGGTGATCGACAAATCCTTTGGATTCTGTTGAAATCAATTTATGATCAGAGAAAGATGAGACCACAACATTGCAAAGACATTAAACAACTCGAGACTGTGCTCCAAACTCTATTTACCCCAGATATAATTCAGATTTGATTGAAGTGCGTTATGGGTATAGGCTGGAAAGTAGTCTCTTATTGTCGGGCGATCGTGTCTCAACTTATTTTAAAATGTTAAGCGGCAATGTTCGTCTTTAAAATTTTGTGTAATATCCTTATATGAGGTCGATTGTTCCTGCTCGAACGTGCTCCTGAACACTTCGATAACGCAGTACGTAGCGATCTGCTGACGTCACTTGCACAAAATCGCCGCCTTTATCATCGCATTGTACTCCACCTGCTTCTTTGCCTTGGCAAAACACAAAATTGTCGAGATTCGGCTTGGAAACTGCAAAAATCATTCGTTTTAAGAAAACGAGAGTACTCATGTCAGTATGAAACGCGATTTGATACTAACCCATGCCTTCAGCTGTAAGGGTGCGATTTTCATTTGAAAACTTGTCAAGAGCCAGATTGTTAACATGAGATTCATAAAGCATTGCAAATCTAATCAAAAGACATTAAATTAGGATATAAATGTTTCACGTCATTCAAAAGCAAATGAACAATTTCTTACTGCTGAGCAAAGTCCCGTTCTTTCACTGACAGTCGCTGAATCAGCTCTTCATCTTCAAGAATGTGAAAAACAAAGTTTTCAATCTACAGCTTATGTCATCATCCTCAAATTTAGCACAAATGAAGACCAGTATGTTAAAGAATTACATTGGCGGCACCTTGCGTAGACGTGTGCGGAGGTACGATGAGACTATATAACGCAATCGGTCGATTTCCATCTGGTATAGCTTATTGACAAATGATGTCTCTTCTGTACGCTGTGCACGATCTTCATTTACTGAATCAACGTATTCCTGTTGATTCCGGATCTGTTCCACCATTTCAGTCACCATTTCATCGTCGTATGGCAAGATCTCTGGAGCATTCTATTAATCATCAAAAGCGAGTGATGACAAAACACACAATCACATACAAAAGCAAAAAACGCACGAGCTCATTCACCCAAAGTATACGCATACGCTGAACATCCTCGTTAAGATTTTCTTGATCAAATTCGGGCTGTGAAGACGTCTCCATGTAGTCTTTGCCACTTGGTCGTGATTTACCGGTATTGATTAAAAACCAGTAGAGCATGTCGGTATGAGAAAGGCACGGCAACAACCTCCAGAGCTGCTTGACGACTGCTCTTTCTCAATGTGAAATGTTGAAGAGCTACGTTTGTTTCGACATTCTAAAGATTTAAAACTTAAGAGATACTCAACGAAAAAAAGCGTGCACGATATTGATGGGTGCTGTCAATTGCTGCGCACAGACTCCATCAGATGGTAAATGAGGTCAATGCATTTCATTGTGGGTTCCTCATGCATTTCTTGTGGTGTAGTAGATGTATGGAAAAGAAGCAATCGATTTCGAACGCTTAGTAGAAATGAGGCAAAGGTGTTGATGCCAATTTACGACTACGAGCCATCACTATCGTTCGATCACGGAGACTGTGCGTCAAGCAATGATGATGGTATGATAGAGTGCTATCCAGATACCCCGCAATCAAAATTAAGTGGTCGAGAGCTTGAAGACAAGGCAGTGGTGGTCGTTTCAACCGACGGCAGTGTCGACATTCAGAATGATCAAAAGTTAGAGAAGGTACTTCCGACTTTAAACGACGAAGAGTTCGATGATTTGTCGCCTGAGGCTCGAGCTTTGCTCCCTGCTCCAAACTCCTGCCCTCGATCGGGTTAGTCTTTATTCCTATACGTAATAAAATTTAGAGTTTAACGTGGTATATGATGTCAACAGGTATTAATCTGCGTCGGCAGTCACCAACTTTTGGCAGTAGTAAATCTCATGAATCAGAGCTACGTCGCACCAAGTCGCTCTATAAAGGTTCAGTCGTGCATTGCACTTTCTTGCGTCATTTTCATTTACAAATACTTGATTGTTCTTTGATTAGTTGACACTCAACCACGTCTCGATGACTATCTCTGCGCATGCAAATACTGTCCACGTGCCATGACGATACAACGTGCGTTTCAACTCTACGGCTTTGCTTTAGATCATCCACAAAGTGAAGCACTGTTACGTGTACTGCGTGCTTGTGCAAATTACGATGAGACTATTATGGAAGTGGATCCATTGCTGGTGTTACATGCCGAGAAAATGCTAGAAGAGCTCGGTTTTGATGAAAATCAAACCTTTCGTCTTCTCGTCGCTTCGCACTTTCAGCGACCATAAAGCAACATAAGACAAGAATTAAATTTCAAGAGTCCCCATCCCTAGATTAAAACAAAATCTAATAATTTTTTGATTCGCTAAAATCTTCCAATTCTGCCACCATCAATAGCTCCCTTCCTTCATCATTTTCCAAAGATTTCTCTCCTACGAATATCCTCATCAATTCATCATGGCTCGTGAACGTACTTATATTATGGTAAAGCCAGATGGCGTCCAGCGTCATCTCGTGGGCGAAATTATCAAGCGTTTTGAGACCAAGGGTTACAAGCTCGTAGCCCTCAAACTCGCTCGCCCGTCAATAGATCACTTGGAAGCACACTACGCCGATCTTGCTGGTCGTCCCTTCTTTCCGTCTCTCATTGCATACATGAGCTCAGGGCCTGTGGCTTGCATGGTCTGGGAAGGTAACAATGTGGTTCTTGAGGGCCGTAAAATGCTCGGTGCCACCAAGCCGTCTGAGTCGGCGCTGGGCACGATCCGTGGTGACTTTTGTGTTGACGTGGGTCGCAACGTTTGTCATGGCTCGGACTCGGTTGATTCAGCCAACAAGGAAATCAGTCTTTGGTTCCCAGAGGGTCTTGTCGAATGGTCCTCCAACGATGACGAGTGGGTGTACGAATAGGTAGCTGTTCTCGTCACACAAAAAGAAGCAGCGACTAGTTCAAGATCTCAGGCTGCTTTCACTACAATCTTCTTAGATCAATAACAAAGCTTTGTAATGACTTCTACCCCTTCTAGTTGCCTTAATCTTGTTGATGCTTTTCATAATTACACATCGGTTCAACATTATTGTCAATAAATACAGGTTAGAGTCGGAGTGACCGATTCAATGTCTCGGTATCTGACTGACATCTTCACAATTGAAGACACCTCCTCTTCCCTTTTTTATCTGTGATCTACATGCACCACATTTTTTTGAGTAAGGAAAGCTAATCAACATAGCTCATTGGAATCTAAGTTATCTTTGTCCTGTGCCTTACGCATGGACAATCAATTTATATCAATAAGTACACTTCAAAACGCCGAAGGATGAGCTTAAATAGCTCGCAACAAATTTACATGACAAAGTGGATGATGTTACAACATAGCACGTGCATCAGGCGACGCTTTGAAAATAGGTGCAGATTGACCAGAAACTTAGTGTTATCTACCAAACACATTACACACGTAAGACCTATAGTACGTCATAAAATATTGGAAAATAGTGGCAATATCTCTCATTTATTAAACTAATCTACAGGGTTAATTCTGTATACGTTTGTCTGTATAAAGTAAAAAACACTGTAATTAAACCAATCTCTTATTCTTTCTATTTCTCAGCGAGAGCCAGTAAAGCCGATAGCATTCTAACCACATATCCTCTCAACTTTCGGTGTCATCATGAAGTATGTGATACGTCTTATCTTCCTCATACCAAGAGTCCACGATGTTCTTTTTTAATGGGTCAAAATTTAAGGAACCAGATGGTATACATTTTAATCAACTGAATCTTCAGTGACGACTTCGAAAGGATTCCAAAAATACAGCACCTGAGTTGCTATGCAGCTGGGATAAGGACAAGAATCCCGTGAAAATGACTACCGGAATGGCTTCAATGACATATTGTCTTCTTGACCATTTGACCGGATCTGTGATTGACGCACGTTGACTGAAATTTTCTTCTTATTCTTAAGAATAGCCACAAGTAAACAAGTTCGAAATGGCTCAAGACGATACTTCTAAACTTCATGTCCTCCCTGCCTTTGTGCCGTTCTTTTGGTCGTTTGTTGGCATTGGAATCGTACTCTTCATCTACTCGATAAAATACGCAAAGAAATATTGTACGACTGCAGCCTTCCTCCTCACGGTGCGTCTCTTATGAATGCTATTTCGATCATATTTCTAATCATTGACAAGACATGTAGCCATTCATTTGTATCAGTCTTATCTTTGACAATGTCATTATGGCTACAACAGGCATCGATCGACGATGTACCAGTACTCAAGCCATGTTAGCGTTCCATGCATGTATCACTCCTATGTTGTTATTAGTGTATTATGAATTGGCGTATTTGGTACACAAGCACAAATCAGTAAATTTCTGTGGAATCTCGTTTGAAAGTGATCATCGAGAATGTCGAAGCATTGGGACAAATACAAGAGCAAGAGGTACATTAGGTCGTCGTCGATGGTTACTATCGACGTGTTTACGCTTCATGGTGTGGCTTCTTAGCTTTGGGTTACTCATTTTAAACCTTTTAATTGCATACCACTGGACAAATACAATGATGCCTGAAGTAACAAGTTTCTATCATCTTCAAGGAGATAATGTTGCTCATACAATCTGTGCAATTTTACCGGCACTTGTACTCGTCATATTATCTCTATATGTTGGAATGAAATTGTGGAATTATGGTTCTCATTACTCGTATATGGTTCATGCGACGTGCTTAAATCCATGGATCTGGATGCTTCTTGGGGCTCTTGCTCTATTGATTGGATATATCATGCCATCACCTCTTTACGCAGTATCTTCAAATGCTGGAGAACTAGTCATGATGGGTACAATTGTACGGATGTTTCGTGAAGTACATCATGATATGCAACAAGCTCTTGAATTTCATGAATTTATTGATCCTGAACGTGCTGCACGGAGTCAACAAGTCCAAACTTTCGGTCCTCCAAATCTTTGTCTAAGTAAAAGTATTAGTCATAATAAAATGGCACACGAACACACTTCTGGATACATTACCGTCTCAACGCCAAAAGCAGCAGAACCATCCACTTCATTTGCCAATCGATTACATACTGATCACAGCATTTCATCAAGTACAAACACTGCGTTTCTTTCTGTTGTAGTTGCACAAGAATCAATCGATTCTTTACATTCATAGCCATATAAGGGTAATCAAACATAATGAGAATGAAACGAACTCACTTGTTTACACTCCACTCGAAAGAACCACATGTGCTTCTTTCGTATGTTGTTGTTTCTTTTCAAGTACTTTCATCATTTTACTACTTCCTTCTCCTGACAACAGCTTTTGAGCTTTTAATTCTTCTTTCACTTGTCGCAATCGCTTTTCTTTCTTTCTCTTGCCTGGTTCATGACCATGAAATTTATACGAAAGCATTCGAAAAGCTTCTTTTTTCGTTAATAAACGTCCAAATTCATCGCGATAGTCAAGTTTTACACCATTTTTTATTCGTAAATCAGCATCAAATGTACGATCTCGTACATCATTAGCTCGACCAGCTTGTCGTTCAATTCGTGTTTGTTTTAAATCACCAGTTTGACGAAGAAGTGCTAACGTTGCAGCCATTCCTGCTCCAACCAATGGTTCTTCTTCTCCCCATACTTCATTCTCTTTTCTCTCCTCGTCCTCATCATCACTTTCTTTTGGCTTTTCACTTTGACCCTTTTGACGTGTTTCAATATTTGATCCATTGAAACTCATCGACTTCTCGGCTTCAGCTTGGAATTGAGCTGCACGCTTTTCCATTGCATCACGTAAACGTGTTTCAAAGTCCGTGGCTTCGTTAAATACAACAGCATTTTCTGTAAGATTCCCACCACCAAACACTTGACCAATTTGTTTGTGTTCACTACCATCAAGTGTATTGTCGGAAGTGTTAAGAGATGACACTCGGTTTTCTTCGTGACAAATTCTTTGACTAACAAGCTCTGCAATTCGTTCTTCACTTGTAAGAACTACAGGTTTTACTTTCTCTTTTGTCAATTGTCGAACACGAGCAAGTGACGCACCAAGTTCTCGTTCCATTTCCATAGCATCATCCATCAATTCATTTTCATCCATTCGACGTCGTTTAAGCTTTTGACTTGATTTCGAATTAGCAGCTAATGCTTCAGCTGCTACTGCATTCGCTTTCTCACGTGCATCTTGAAATCGTTGTAGTTTATCCACATCCACCTCATCTTTCTTATCATTTTGTTTTCGTTTTCCACGATCATTCGATCCAATGAGATTCGTCTTCATGGCTTCAGATTCCAATTGCGCCACCAAATCACGACTTTCAATCTCGTCATCATCTTTCTCTTTCAATAAAACTTCCATGTCATCATCCAACACTGTTTTATGACGACGCAACGTTTTTTTCTTTCGTTTTTTAATACTTTTGGAACGTTTTGCAAACTGTGTTGCCATTTCATCTTTCGTATAATAGTCTTCAACTCGTTTCATTCGATTCATCGATAATGAAATCACAGCCACTTCATTCTCTTCCGGTATATTTTCCTTCACAACACTTTGTGACTCTCCAAATGCATTTAATTGAAACTTTCGACTTGCTTCAACTTCTCGCGCTTCTTCATCTTCATCATATTGTGTTAAAATCTTTGTAATCTTCCTCTTTCGTCTACTATTCACTTCAAGAAATTCTTCATCATCATATGCAGAATAAACTGGTAAAGCTGCACGTTTTGTTCGCTCTTCACGATCTTTTCGTCGCTCTCTCTCACTCATTTCAACATTTACTAACACATCATCGTGTTCATTTAATTCTTTGCCATCTTCTAATATTTCTTGATCTTTTAATGTTAAAATCACATCTTTTCCATCTTGAAATTCATCCATAGCATGGCCAACAGTCATTCCAGCTAATGCTTGAGCATCATATCGTTCCTTTTCAACACTTTCACTTGCTTTTTCCTTCTTTTCTCGCTTCCGAGACTCTTTCACCCACTTTAAAGCATCATGAAGTGGAGTTTCACCCGAATTTTGAGCTTTCCATGTCGCTTGTAATTGTTCTCCAAGTGATTCACCCTGAAGTTTTTGGGTTAATTCACGTCGAGTTTTCGAGTGCTGTACCTTCCTTTGTATCTCCTTTTGCTCTCGTTCCATTTCATATTGTTTCAATGTTGTTTGAACATTTACAATTGCTTGTTCTTTCTTTGAGAGACCGAGAACAAGTGGTTTTAATCCCAAGGAACGACGTAATTCATTTGTTTCCTCAATACTTAGTGTTATCTCCTTCTTTTCGGAAGACGCGGGAAGAACATCGTGATGTTGATTACGACGAGATGATGAGTCATGATGACCACGACGAGATGAGGACGAGCCGCCGTGACGACGAGAACGAACGGGAGATTGACTGCGACTACGTGCCATTAAGGGGGAATTATGGTAGAACCGGTAAGATCTCGGTATGGTATGAAAGTGATTTGAACAATTTGATTTGTTTGAAAAGGGAACAATGCAACGTAAAAGCAAAGATGGAATTTATATAGGAGAGTTGGGGAAAAGAAGGTTGTCGTTGTAGTGAATTGATTCATGTCGTCATATCTACTTGATTCACGTAGACTTGTTTCACTTTGTAGCACTTGTAGTCGATCCAACGACCAAGTCGTGAGGACTATCGACTCTGTGAAAATGAAACACGATGTGTTCGATTACCTGTCTCAAAAAGCTACACTCCTCGATAAAGATATGTATGTTGTTTATATCGAAGAGATTAACGACGGCTGGCCCAAAGAGCAGCAGAAGCGATAATTGCTTCCTGAAAGTAGTCATCAGCAATTAAAGCGCGCTAATTAATCACTTTCTGGAGTGCCTGATTCGGGCGTCGCCGGGGAAATAAATGACACCCATCGCGAGTCCGCCAATATTGGGTGGCCAGCACTTTTAGGAAGGTGGGATAGCCATGTATGGGTCGTGCTTCAGAAGAAGCGACAGCACGTCGCTTCACTGGCAGCGACCAAGCTTGGAGGCCGCGCGCGAAAATGAGATCAACGTGCTATATCGCTGTATAAAGGCATTTCCCGCTTTGGTGGGATTTAAAGTAGCATATGTCGTTGGTATTGTCACCGCCTACCGAGGCGTTTAAGTAGTTGTCCACCTGTCCAGCCGTAGAGACCATTTGAGTAAGAAAACATTGTTTCGGATAAAAGATTATTAATCACCGCAATGTTATGGGGCCTTCTTCTAGCGAAGGCGAGTTAGAATACGCATGGAAATTCACCAAGTAGTTTTGCGCTGAGACCTTCCGCGCCCATGCTACTTTTATCAAGGAAACAATTGGTGCCATATTAAATGCAGTGACAGCTTTCCTGCCACGAAGGCAAATAATTAGATCTCTAAGAAAGCGTCAGAGGTGTCATTTTATTTCTTAGCCGCGTTGAAGAAAATTAAAGCGAGCTCGTGCCTACCAAGCGGGTCCGTACTATTTGCAGATATTTCATCTGTGATCGTACAAATCACTGTGCCATGTGCTCCCCGTTCACTCTCGGTTGGAAGATATTCAAGCTCAGGCTTCCTCAGAGAGTCTCCCGGCAATCTAGAGGGAGAAATTGGGTCTCGGTTCTAGAGGGAAAAGTTGGGTCTCTGTAGGCACAGCGCAGTCTATTGGGTAAAGATTACTTTATATAGGCAAATCAACGGCTCCTAGCTTTTGAAAAGGCTACTTTCTGGAGAAAAAAAAGAGGTGGGCTCGCAGCATAGGGTTCGTGTTTGTTTACGTCACGGTCACGAGCTTTGTGAAGCTGTAAAGGGTCCTAACAGACTCAGGAGTGCTATCATTAATGTACGATGCTCGACAATCAAACGCAGAAGACGCCAAGGCATTGAATATGTCAAATACAAATATATTATCCGTATGTCTTCCAACGAAAACTACTTTGAAAGTGTCGAAGGCTTTAATACGTTTTCATGCAAAGTATGAGGACTTTGAGAACGTGAAATGCTGTCTCTTCCTAGACCTAGACACAAAGTATGACCTTATTTCAGGTATGGCGTATTAAAACGCCACCATTAACGGATCGACTTAATATTAATAAAAGGTGCTGCGCATTTCTAGCCCGGGAATGCTTTTGCCAATCATATCCTCGTGAGTAGTTCGCCCAGATCGTCACTTAAGGTCGCAGCAAGGTGCTGAAGAGTATATTTTCGGTCCACGTCAGGTGCTTCACGCTCACGCTTCTTTAAGCTGCTAATGATAATGCGCCGTTCAGGCGAAAGTGGTGACCGTGACACGAACGCGCAGGTTCACTAGGTGTATTTATAAATATACTACTTAGAGCTTTTACGAGGAAACAGAAGCGCTTTAGGCGCGGGTACAAAGCCGCGATAGCAGGATATTGAATGTTCGAAAGCGACAGCAATGATACTGCTTGTTGCCTCTGGCAAGGATTGAATGACAGAAGCGGTAGTCAGCGATGGCTAAGACCAAAAATAGCGGAAGTTGTTGTGGTCTCCAGATGGTGTCTTTGGTAGAGGTGAAGCACATATGCAAGTAGATATCTCTTGTTATAGAGCCAGTGGAGTTAGAATGCAACTGTAGACTGAATGCCAGTATAAAGTTCAGGCCCTGGAGTAAATAAGGATGATATATCCTTGTCTTGATGTAATGTTACTTCAAATTCAGTACTTTCGTGTACTGTGTCTGTGCGGAACTGGATATATACATGATTCTAGCGAAAATATTTTTGTTTGTTAACGGAAAGACACCGATAGTTCCAGGGGTTGTGTGTACTTTCTCACAGCTTCCGGCAAAGCTCTTATTTAGCTAATGGAACTTCCCCCAGTATGTGTGAAGAAGTGTTCAATCAGCACGGCTAGCACCATAAAGGGAGCTAATCTATCCACCGTGATAGGCGAGTCCGTCAATGAGATGACTCGCTGAGAATCGAGTGCGATGAGAGGGAAAGCCAACTTGAAAAACTGTTCTATTTTATCTTCTGTTTGAAAATCTCAATTCGTGGTGACAAGATATCTCACCACATGTATTGCCGCTGGATCGGGGAGTGCGTCATAAATTGACTTGGTACCCGATATCAAATATTGCCTCATATGGCGATGGCCCTTGCCAAGAGAACAATAGGCGCTTTCTTCAGTGCGATACTCGAAGTCAATTTGGTTAAAGAGAGTAGATCTCCCATCTTGGTGCCAGCGATCTGTGTTGGAAATGCTTGCGGTAAATGACGAATTGTACATCTTACAATAGGCTTAATGCAGCCATGATTCGGTGAAATCGCCAATTTTTTGTTAGAATGTGCCGCAAGACAGCAGGGTCGGTTGCAGTTTAATCATTTACAGTGTCTGGCTGATGGTATCGTCAACTACCCATGAGGAACAGCAAAATTCCTCTCGGTGCGGTGAGTACTCCGAGCTGGATACTCTAAGAAAAGGCCTTTCACACCAAAGGATCTATTCAATGGATCAGCGACGTTCAACCATCTGGTGATACAGCTTCCATGGTGTTCTTCAACGATAGTTGTGCAGAGGGCTAAAAGTCAGATGTGGAATATCCTATTGAACCCTTGCGAGCAGCGCTATAGTGTATGCGCATCAATTTGCTGCTTAACGAAAATAGAGAAGTGTGTTTTTGACGCCGACGAGATCCTTCTACTCGATATTTTCATTGAGAAGAATGAACTGTAAATCAGGAAAGTTGGCGCTGAGTCGAAAACTTTTCACTCAATTCCGTGCCTCACGCGAAAGATTGCTTCCATGAAGTTATACTGCTCCCTAAATTTGCGCCTGACGCAATATATTACAGGTCAATTTTGTAACGCACTTTCCGAATGGGAGTAGTATGCATTATTGGTCTCTTGTCACCATATCACGAATTCTTGACGATACATTATCGCATATTTTGCAATATGTGCTTTGCAAGTGCTCTAAGGGACAAAGGCAGGCTCATCTATTACATATAATGGAACGAGCTCTTCATCCGATATTAACCGTACCGATTTTGAGTGATATCATCGTCTTGAAATTTCTCGCGCAGATACCTCGGGAAACGTTCCAGCTACAGAAGAGCTTATATTAGAGTTGAGGGGATAGTTACAGTCCCTAAGACAGCCTGGGTAATTCAAGATTTTTTGTCTCAAATTTGTAAAGCTTCACTGCTGTCACGCGGTAGTGGTTTCTGCCACAGCTGGCATACAATCTGGTGACCGCGCTATACGATCGCTTCTATCTGTATCGATCTAAGGTTGCGGCTCATTACTGCTTATGTCTTTTGATCTGAGCTTGAGGCAACAAACAATGGATTTGCTATTGACTTCGGACAATCCCATATTTTTCTTGATAGCCATCATATCTTCGTGCCCGCAAGAAAAGCGCCTCTGTAATCTATTAGAATTGAATTCACTATTCACAAAGATTGACCGGGAGAGAAGTGCGTGGCAACTATTTCTTCGGGTTTTAGCCTGTTCACTGCTCTCTCTATCCAACCACGCCATGTATGGGGTACAAACATATTTCGAGTTCAGGTTTATATTGAGACAAAATTTTGCGCTGTCAGAGTCCTTAAGCTTCGCCTGAACATATATAGAACTAGTTTATCTGTCACAAGACGGCACACCAGTTATTATATTACGCAAGGAGATCACCTCCAGGATTGCCTCAACTAAGCGTCTGTGGCAGTACAACCCACACCACAGTGAAGTCACTTCTGCTAAGCGCCAAGCCTTATGATGGCAGACTAAAAAAGGTCAGAACACTTAGTTTGAAAAGTGGGACTGCTGTCGCTCAATATGCAATACATTATTGCATAAGCGGTGGGTGCCGCATCGAGTTCGAAGTAAAACTTGCGTGCCACAAATACTAGATGAGTTGCCGAAAGTGAGAGCTTAATTAGCACGCCAGAGCGGATGTACCATAATGAAGAGGATAAAGGAGGTCTCTTGACGGCCGATCAGCTTTGTTGTTCTTGCTTTTGCTTTATTTGTAAAAGATACGAATCATTGTGTAACGCGTTCTCCCTTTGCTCTTAGCCGAAGGCTTGAATGATTAGGTTTCTACACGGGGTCGCGACGTGAAAATTTCGGTCCCAGTAGAAGGAGGGCGGATATCTATCACCGTCACAGGCTTTGGAAAGCCGTCAAAATCCGGATAAATTCTGGAGCTTTGTGCAATTATATTTGACGCGCGCCTGTGGAATACAGAAGACAACATTCAGCAATCACTATAACTGTCTGTGTTAAACAGATGCGATAATATCAATCAAATAAACATCTGCATGTCAAATACAAATACAGTATCCGTGCGCTTTCAAGATAATAATAACCACTTTCGGACCTTGGACCGCCAATCATGCTGTCTCCTCGGTTTTAGCTAAAGACAGAAGCATTTTTGCCTATTTTGTTGTTCAGAGAATAGATGAATAA